AATTTTGTTGTCGGCATTAAATAATGCAATAATTTAATTGAAATCAGACACATCAAAAGTGGAGTTCAAAGATGCAGCCTACACATAATGACTATAATAAAGTTTATCGAGTATACCATTTGAAAACAGAGAACCACCCCGAATGGGGCCTGTGTTATTATGAAATTATAGGTAATATCTCAATTATCCTAAATAAGTCACCTTAGTCCCAACAACAACATTACACCCCCCTTTGATCAACTATGTTGCTGACCTTCACATCATTGACTGAGCACAAAAATGCATCAAGCTACAGAAAATTCAAAATGAAGTTAGTTTTGTATTCTGGTCCCAAAGTTGCAAGCAAAAAATGTTTGAGGACATTAGTCATGCATAGAACTCCAATTTTGGATGGAACACTCACCTGTCACATAGCCTGAAGAGCCATATCTAGATGCTGGAACATAATCGATGATTGACAGTCTGACAGTATCTGAGAATAAAAGGACTTAACCGAAAAACCTTTTACCACATCATCAATCCAAACTCTTATGTCTAGTAGAATTACATTATAGTTTAAACATAAATTATATTTTGACACAAATTATAACCAATAATCTAAACATAAATTATATTTTGACAAAAATTTGTTAACAAATGAAAACATTAAGGCTTAACTGAAACACAAAATATGGAATTGTCAACTGCTCACGTGATACGTATTAGAAGAGCTGCAACAGTCTATCAACATATATACCACTTTCTTCCAAACCTAGAAATCAAACACCAACAAAATAATAAAATTAATATGTTATCAAATATGGATAAAGAAATTAAAAGAATTTGATTATCTTTTTACATTCTTGAAATATAAGCTAATCTTGTGCCCTATCTGAATTATCTTTGTTGTTATTTCCATATATAAACCTGTAACATGAAATTGAAATTGAAATTAATAAAACAATAGTAAAGAGAACTATGGAATCTAGCTATATGAATATTGAAATTGAAAGCAAGAGCGGTAAGAAGACAAACTTGGGGATCGGGAACAAGTGTTTGCATCTCGACATATTGATAGGAATCAGCAGAAGCAAGGACATCTTTTTGTGGAATTGCTTCATACAAAGATTTGATGTTTGTGGAATTGCTTTGTATACAACTGTTTTACAATATCCTGAGCATCATCAGGACTCCTGCAGTCGACAATAATAACTTCAAAATCAACATCCCTAAAATTGAGCAATAGAACAAAGTATTCATAAATATGATTGATCATAATATAAAAGGAATAAAAACTGAAGAGATGGAGAAATTACAGAAAGTGCTTGAATATAAGGTAAATAATTAGGGTTATGTTGAGCCGCTCATTATACGTAAGGACAATTATACTGCACTTATTTTTATACTTCTCCGCATCCATTCCTATCTAAACATGAAACAAATCCACTAAATCAAAACCAAAAAGTGATTATTGGAATCCTTATACTATAGCTATACGTGATTATCAATTTCATGTAATCAAATCCAAATTAGTATAACCTTGAGTTATTCAATAAGATATGACAATCAAATGAAAGCCTCGATAATAAGAACATAAACAATGCTATCATGGAATAACAACAGTTATGGTTAAGGAAAAATGAAGAGAAATTGGTAGAGATTAACAAACCCGATGATGTAGAAAGTGGGATCACGAATAACAAACACACGCTTCACTCGTCGTAACCGCTATCAATTCAAGAACCCTAAAAACAAAAACAAAAACTCATTTCATTATTTCAACAATCATTAACTGAAAACACCAAACTCGAAACAAACATCAAAAACCTAAACCTAATCTCAATTTACACCCAACTCTGTAACAATTCTTTTAAACCAAATAACATTGCTTCTAAGTTTAACTTGAATTCAAAATCTAAATGCACACATTAAAATTTGGGAAAAAATAAACTCAGAGTATCATAAGAGAGCAACCCTATAGTTTAACATGAAACCTGTAGAACCAAAAACAACCTTAATATTTCAGAACCAAAAAATAATTAAAAGAAACTCAAAGACATGACCGACCATATCACCTTTTTTCACACCACGCACACATTCTGAACCGCAGCCGACAACCTCTAACAAAAATAAAAAAACCTCATGACCGCGGTACCACCACACAACCCAGAACCCTTTGCGGCACCCAACTTTGTACCTCGCCGATGACTTCGTGTCATCTTCATCCACAAACCCTCCACCATGGACTACCCTTTTGCCACCAACTATCCATTCACCCATAACCCTAACTATAATAAGTTTTCAACTTAAAAGAAAAAACCTACATCAACATTATTCAATTCAATCAGTTGAAAATAAAAGTAACTTTCACCAATTTAAGCCACACATAAAAGAGAAATGTGACATGATTTGGATCAGATCGAGACAGATTATGATGTTGAACAACGAGTTTTATGTAATTCCAAGCAGTGTAACATTCTGGATTAATTTCAATAAGCTTTGCGCTCAAATCTAATGCTTCTTGTGTATATCTGTAACCAAATTTATCCAAATCAAACAAAAGAAAAATGAAAGAGAAGAAAGAATCAGCAACATACATGCGATCACGGTGATTGACGGAGAATTGAGATTAAAGTGCACGAAGCTTTTTGGCTTTGACTGATAAAACTGATTCATCTTCTTTCTTCAACGGTTTGCGAAAGGGATCGATCATGGAGTAGTAAGAGGGGTGGTTTTTAAATTGAAGATGGAAGAGAAACAGGTTTACAAAAATCATGCTGAACTGAATGATTTTTTGAGAAATATTATTTTATTTTGGGAAAACAAATTATTTGAGTTGTGAGCCAGGCACGTGTCGACTGCAGATCAATTGAAGAAAAAAGTTCTACTTTTCTTATATTATAAATTAAATTCAACGCATCGAATATTGTAGCGACATATCATCAATTATAACCAACACACCATCAATAATAATTCTAAAATTTATTACATCATCCTTTAGTCCTATGTGGCACATCTAAAAACTCGTTTTCACTTTTTAAAATGTCAAATGCAATACTTCTATAAATTGGAGGTCACGAGTTTGAACCCTTACAAAGACGAAATAATATCTCATTTTGAATGAATTGGTCTAATAAATCAATCATTACTCCAATTATGTATATTCCCTTAAAATAAAAGTATTCTCTCGAAGGGATGTGGAAATCCAAACACAATAAAATATTTTTTGTTTTCTTGAAATTATAGCAATAAAAATAACACTTGAAATAAATGTTTTTAACCTTAAAGTAGTTCTTGCACAATTCTCAAATATAAGTCACTTTAAATTGATCTTTAAAAATAATATAGTATGCAACAATCTTTTACGATGCATTTATACTTTGCTACTATACTTTTCATATAATATCAAATAACAAACTAATGACAAACAACAAGATACCATACAAAAGAGATGTGAGAATCCAAATACAATAAAATATTTTTTATTTTCTTAAAATTATAGCAATAAAAGTAACACTTGAAACACATGTTTTTAATTTTAAAGTAATTCTTACACAATTTCAAAGATAAGTCATCACGATTTGATCTTAAAATATAATATAGTATGCAATAATATTTTACTGTATCTATGTACTTTACTATTATATCTTTCATATAATACCAAATAATAAACTAAAGACAAACAATAATATTTATGATTTATCGCATATGAGAATATATAATTTTTTTCAAAGTAATTTACTATTTTGTTTAATAATTGTGATCATAGAGAGTATCGTATAAATAACCATGATAATGTCTAAAAAAAAGAACACTCATTTCAACTGATATCAACGACAAAATCAAATAATTTTTTTATAATCTCAATAATGAAAATTAAAATAATAAATTAAAAAATAATAATTAAGTTAATATAACAACTAACATTTTCAACCCTTTATTCATCAAATAACAACTAAAGTTATTGAATATTTTATTTGATAATAATTATAAATAAATTTTTAATTTTATTTAACACTAAAAATAAATACATATATTTAACAAACTAAAATAAAGTATTTAAATAAAAGATAAGTGAAAAAAACATGAGAATCAAAACAAACAAACAAAACTACTTTATAAATGTTTAAGTTTGTAAATCTAAATGACGAATATCACTCTCAAATTACAAACATGTATTTTCTTTTTAAATAAAACGTATATTATCTATATAATTAACTTATATCATTGTCTAAATATATTTAAAATTCAATAAAAAATAAACAAGTTAATTTTAACCCGCATATCGCGTGAGTGTTAATCTAATTTAATATTAGTTATCAAATTTCTTCATTGAGTTGTTACCAAATCATCTTTAATATTCTAATCCTTATTTCTTAATAACAAAACTTTTAACCTTGATAAAATCTTTAATTTCTTAAAAAACTAATAAAATAAAAAAATTTCAAATGACTTCAAATATTTATATTTATTTATAGAATACAAACAAACAATATATCCTTACTCCTAGGCTTCAAAGAATGAATTTCCCTTCTAAACTAAATATTTGCCACCATGTTTCAATGCTCTCCACATCCTTCTGAGTTTAACTTATTCTTCCACACTATATAGTTTAATAATCAAATAATGCAACAAGCATGTAACACCACTTATCTCAGAATAAAAAACCTAACAATGCAGACCAAGAAAACGTCACATTGTAAAATAAGTCGGCTTTATTTTATCATTTTGACAACTAAGTACTCAGAACATATACACTAAAAAATCCACAGAGAATTTTCTTTTATTGCGTCTATATTATATAATCAATATTGGCCACATTATTAGTCAATTGGAATATGGAATCAATTTGTTAGATAGAAGAAAGAATGCATGATTTTCATTAGTCAACTCAAATATACAAGAAAAGAAAATGGAGAGCATTCATATAGACCAATTCCACTCTTTTTTATCTTCCATTCTTCAATTCAAATACCATTTTCTACATGTCACAACTTTGTTTGTCAACAAACTATCACACCATGAAACATATCTTAAGTTTTTCTTTCATTTTCCTTTTGTTTGCTACTTCTGTATCCGGTTATACATTTTCAGATCATATTTCTACGAATTTTACTGCTTCGTATCTTCAATTCATCAGTAACACAGGCACATTCTTGCTGTCGCGAAACAAAACATTCAAGGCTGCTATATACAATCCTGGTAATCAACAGACAAGTTTCTATCTATGCATCATTCATTCCGCGTCAAACACGATCATTTGGTCTGCTAATCGCGACGCGCCCATCTCAGATTCTGATAAAATGAACCTAACTGTCAAAGGGATGACAATTTTTGACAAAAATGGAAACTCCAAATGGTCGACACCGCGGCTTAAATCAGAAGTACAGAAGCTTCAACTCACTGAGATGGGAAACCTCGTGTTACTTGATCAATCCAATGAATCTCTTTGGGAGAGTTTTGATCATCCAACCGATACAATCGTTATCGGACAACGTTTATCGGCCGGATCATCGTTGTCTAGTGCTTCATCCAGTTCTAATTTGTCAACAGGAAATTATATCATGACAGTAACTTCTTCTGATGCAATTCTTCAATGGTATGGACAAACATATTGGAAACTTTCAAGGGATTCAAAGGCTTACAAGAATTCAAATGATGATGTTGAATACATGGCAGTAAACACAAGAGGTTTTTATCTCTTTGGACATAATGAAACAGTTCATGTCTATGAAGTTGGTTTATCAGTAACTAGTTTTCGTTTCGCGAAATTGGCTTTCAATGGCCTATTTACAGTTAGTAGCTTTTCTGGAACAAATTTGAAGCAGGAATTTGTTGGACCAGATGATGGTTGTCAAATTCCATTAGCTTGTGGAAGAATAGGCTTATGTAATGATAACACTTTAACCTCATCATCATCACCATCATCATCTTCACCTGTTTGTTCTTGTCCTTCAAATTTCCATGGTGTATCGGGTAATCTCGGTGGTTGTGTTCCGAACGATGGATCGCGTTCTTTGCCATTAGCTTGTAGTAATTCTTCTACCAATAATCATAGTCAATCGGATTCTTCGGTTGTTTCGTTTTTGAGCATAGGCTATGGTGTGAGGTACTTTGCAAATATTTATTCTGATCCATTTATGTATGGAGTGAATTTATCTGTTTGTGAAGCTTTTTGTTTAAGTAACTGTTCTTGCTTGGGAATTTTGTATAGAAATTCATCTGGTTCTTGTTACATGATTGAAAATGAATTGGGATCAATTAGTAATCGAGGTGAAGTAGACATGTTAGGCTTGATTAAAACTAATAAAGTTTGGATTGATATTGATGATGATGACGAACAAGATTCTCAAAAAGATGGATTTCCTGTTATTGCTGCAGTGCTATTACCATGTGGTGGAATGATTCTTTTGCTGGTTTTGGGTTTTTTTCTTTTCTGGAGAAAATTCTTAAAATCAAAGAAACAAGAGGTGATATTAGGGAAACAAGTCTCAATCTCGCATTCTTCGGGGGACTTGGATTCGGATCCTTTCTGCATTCCTGGTTTACCTATGAGGTTTGATTATGAAGAACTTGAGGTTGCTACTGATAACTTCAAGACTCTGATAGGATCCGGTGCATTTGGCGTAGTCTACAAAGGTGTGCTACCTGATAAGACTATCGTAGCAGTGAAAAAAATAATCAACATTGGTATTCAAGGGAAGAAAGACTTCTTCGCCGAGATTGCTGTTATTGGAAACATTCATCATATTAACTTGGTTAGACTCAAAGGCTTCTGTGCTCAAAGGGGACACCGGATGCTGGTCTACGAATACATGAACCGCGGCTCTCTTGATCGAAACATCTTCGGTGGGAGTGGACAACCGGTTTTGGAATGGCAAGAGAGACTAGACGTTGCGCTTGGAACAGCGCGCGGACTAGCTTATCTTCATAGTGGATGTGAGCAAAAGATAATTCACTGTGATATCAAACCAGAGAACATTCTTCTGCATGATCAGTTTCAAGCTAAGATATCTGATTTCGGACTTTCGAAGCTTCTTAGTCCTGAACAATCTGGTTTATTCACAACAATGAGAGGAACTCGCGGTTATCTTGCTCCGGAATGGCTAACAAATTCAGCAATATCTGAAAAAACTGATGTATACAGTTTCGGAATGGTGCTTCTTGAACTGATCAGCGGTAGAAAAAACTGTTCATTCAGATCAAGAAGTCACAGCATGGATGATGAACACAACAACAGCAGTGGCAACAATAACGGAACTTCATCGAACTCGTCAACGACAGAACTTGTTTATTTTCCATTATTTGCATTAGAGATGCATGAACAAAAGAGTTACATGGATTTAGCTGATCCAAGGCTAGAAGGACGTGTTACGTTTGATGAAGTTGAGAAACTTGTTCGTATTGCATTGTGTTGTGTTCATGAAGATCCAGTGCTTAGACCAAACATGGTTAGTGTTGTTGGAATGTTGGACGGTGGAACACCATTGCCACAACCTAGGATGGAGTGTTTGAATTTCTTGAGATTTTATGGTCGTAGGTTTTCCGAGGCTTCTGTTATAGCTGAAGAAAATGAACATGGTTCTGTAAGGATTCAACAACCACGTGATTCAACTCGAGTGGTTAGTGGGTTTTCTTACATATCTTCACAACAAATCTCTGGGCCAAGATAGTGATTTTCTGTTGATTGTAATTTGGTTCTTCTAATGTTAACTTGTATTGATACATGTATAGGATTGCATCTGTATCTAAGTTGAAGTTGTACTTTAAATTTTCATATATATCCTAATACAAGGTTGAATTCATAAAACATAACCGAGGGATACTATTTCTCCTTATTATTCTTATCGAAGGGTTAGGTGAACACATGTCATCCTAGAGTATTATATTATTTTTAAATATTATTTTTTTATTGTCTTATTTTTTATTGATGAATTTTGTTTTGATTGTGACAAGATGTGTACGGATATATTTGGATAACACATAATTCATTATAGGTGTTGGGAGGAAATCATATACACAATAGAATAAACCAATAAGACAATTTCTCTCAAATATCAAATGCAATTTAGAGACAATTAATAAAAAAACACATCAAACAACATAACACAATTTTATCGTGGAAAAACCTCCATTAACTAGGAGTAAAAAATCATGGGACCCATAGGCCACTTAAAATTCCCACTATAATCAATAATGGGTACAAGCAATGTTCTCTCTAACACTAGTTAGAGACATACATAAACATCATCAATATTTGCAATCAATCTTGAAATACAACAATAATCAAGAGAGACAAAACAACCCAAAAATATCAAGAAATTCAGACCTCGAAGATGGACTCGACGGAAAGATTTAGAAAGCTCTGAATCCAATCTTCACCGTTCAAAATATACTCCTATGAGTCATGAATATTGTGTTAAAATTTTAGGACGATCCGACCGTTGGATTTTGCACAAGCTCCGATTTTCTAGAACTGACTTGTGCAGAATGGGGGCTACGGGAGTAGGATTTTCTCTCTAGCTATTCTTGTTGTTTTTCCCACATAATGAATGAATAACCTAATTCTATTTGTTGGGTAATAAAAAAGGTATAGACACACATAGACCACTAACCCCACATCCATTTGGGTCTCTCCAAATAGGAAGGATAGTCCAACAAACTCCCCCGACCGACTAGTTGGAGGGAAACACCAATTCGGCTACCATGCGACAAAACTCAAACTTTCCTCTAGGCATCACCTTCGTCAACATATTATAACCATTGTCATCGGTGTGAATCTTCTCAAGCTCCATTAACTTGGAATCTAATGCATAACGAATCCAATGATAGCGAACATCAATATGCTTCGACCTCGAGTGAAAGGAGAAATTCTTCGATAAGTGAATGACACTTTGATTATCACAAAATGGGACATACTTTTCTTGTTTCACACCAAGTTCTGTTGCAAATTTCCTAAACCATAACAACTCTTTTGAAGCTTCCACGATGGCTATAAACTCAATGTCAGTAGTAGAGAGTGCAACACACTTTTGCAACTTTGATTGCCAAGTCACGGCTCCTTCGGCAAAAGTTACCATATATCCCGAAGTGGATTTTTTATCATCTAAGCTTCCGGTCAAATTCGAATATGTATATCCAACCAACATATGCTTCTTACATCCCAAAGTTAGTCTCAAATTTAAAGTGTCACGCAAATATCTCATCACCCACTTCACGACCTCCCATTGATCTTTTCCCGGATTTGAGAGATAACGACTCATCATTCCCATGACATGAGTCTAATACGGTGGGAGAAAAGAACAAGAAAGACCTTGATAGATTTTGAGTTTGGGGGGTAAGTTATGAAAAGGAAAGGTGTTAGCACCCTTTTCATCCGTAGTTATCTACGAGCTCTTAATCGTTAGCTCGCTTTTGAAAATTTCTTTTTTTGTGTATGTTTTGAAAATATTTTGAAGATGCCAATCTAAGACGAACTTTGTAATGGTTCTTGTATCGATACTCAAGAATGCGTACAAAGCGTTTGAAAATATTTATTGTTTTGAAAGTGTAATGTGAGAAAATATTTTTTAGAAAAGTTGTGAGCGAGTGATTAACAGTCTTACTCACTCAAGGTCGTTCTTGTTATTTTCCTCCTCCTTTAGAGATAGCGCTATTTGTACCATTAGTTAGTAGGTAGACCTATCTATTGGATGTGAATGGACAGGCGAATGGTCATCGTACGGTCATCGAAGGCAACTTGTAAGGATGCTTTAGCAGTTTTGTAAGGGACTAGATTATTTTTCGTAGGCAATATCGAAGGGTCGTCGAGGGACTATGATATTTTATTCGAGGGTCTTTAACTAAAGCATCCATGTTTTCGAGGGACATGACCGTTATTCCGAAAGGCAACGAAGAGAGGCTACCCTAGAGGTGCAAGTATGCAAAGTGTGTTTGATTCAGTTATGTTTATCTGGAAATTAGGGTTTTGCTATAGGTTGATTTTATCTTGCCATACAAACCCTAATTACTAGAAATTACATAGAAAATATAGTAGTAGAAGATAAAGGCGGAAATGTAAACCTAAAATTATCACAAGGCTTTGGGGCAGTTATATAATAGTGGGAGTGTGGGAAAGTAAAACTACAACTATTACATACTCAGAGCAATTACATAATGGAAAATGCGAAAAATATAAAGCTACGCTATTACAGTTGAACACGCCCTATACATTTGATCTAGGAAATGTAAATACAAATGAGAAAAAGAAATAAGGAAAAGTGGTTTGAATAATGATGATTAATTAAATAAAACCTAATTAATTTTAATTAATTAAAAAAATGATGGTTAATTAATTAATTGATTAAAAGGTTAAAAAACCTAAACCTAATTATTTTTAGGGTTAAAGAAAAAGGTTTTTATTTAATGATTAATTGAAAAAGAATTAGGGTTAGCTGAAAATAAATAGGGGAAGAAAAATCAAGGAAATAAGGGTTAGAAAAGAAAAAAAAATAAACAAATGCCAGGGGTGGGTGTTGAACCCACGCCCTTTGCTTTCTGCCCTGCATAGCTTGCCACCAGGGCAAGCATTGGTTTGTGCTTGAGGAATAGGCACTGTAAAATGAATTAAACCTGCAAAACATTGGAAAATATGAAAAAATAGCAAAAGGAATGGATCGAACCCACGCCTTGATAGACTAATGACTTAACACGCGCTTCCTTGCCACTGGGGTGGCTGTTTCATCCGGTAACATTATAAAATCAAGTAAATGTATAATAAACATAATGGATTGGAGCAGAGAGGCACCGGAGCCCTAGATCTAGTCGTCTTCTCCGGCGACTTATTTTTGTCAATCTGTAAAACAAACATTGTTATTGATCCAAAGGGACCCTGCCCCCCTAATTCGATCCATGCAAGTTCAATGGTGGCCTTGGTTTTCACTAATTCTTCCTGTGTGATGAGATATAAAAGGGATAATGCAAAACGGTTCAAACATGGCAACCTTCCATCCGGGTATTATAGGAGTCACGCAATGATTTTATCATGTACTAATACATCTCAGAAGCACGTTAGTAATGTTAGTATGCATCAAAGCAACATGAAAATGAAGATATGAATTTACAAAACACAAGGAAACCGGTGATGCATGTATGCGATTTTCAAGCCCTTTGGATCATCAAGATCAATCTACACTTACCCTATAATGTCTCTGAAGTTGAATGGGATGGTTGTTTGGCATTAAGGAAGGCTAAAAAGAAGGGTTTCGATTTGACCTAGTTTTGACAAATTTTGAAGTTTTTTGGAAGGTGGTTTCTCTTGCAAGGTTTCGTGTCCTTTTCTTGTCTGAATATGTGGAATATATAGAGGAAAGTTAGGTCAAGAAGAATGGGCTTGGACCTTTGTATGAAAACGTTGATTTTATTTAATTTAATTTTGAATTTAAATAAATAAAATAAAAAATAAATGGAATAAAAAACAAAGGGGTGTATGAGTAGACTTAGAGGTTCACTATGAGGTCTAAAACATGTTTGGACCTTGAAAGATAAACCCACTAGCTCAAAAATTTAAGTTTGACCAACTAGGGTTTCATGCATTTTCTCAAAATTGCCCAACTTGTACCAGTCATAACTCTCTCAATTTTTGTCAAATGAAGGTGATCTTGGACTTTTTGGAAACTCAAGATGTCCCCATACAATCACTATGTTGATCATTTTTCCATTTGAAGACTTTATCTTGATGTAAGTTGCCTTGAAAAGTGTCTTTTTGTTGACTTTTGAAATGACCTATAATGTTTTCGCACATATCTCTCAATTTTTTTGGACTTGAGCTTAGAGAGACAAAGTTGAAGAGAATTTAATTTCCTTCAAAATGAGTTTTGGTTGAGAAGAATATGATGAAGCATGTGAAAGTTATGCTTGGTCAAAGTTCAGTTGACTCCTCCTTAAGAAGACCCTAATTTAGTAACTTTTGATTTTTAGTGAATCGAGTGTTTTCTTGATGAATCATAATCAACCCTTGATCAAATGATGAATGTGACCTTAAAATATTGACGTTGACCAAAAATCTTGAAGTTTGACTATATGTTGACCACAATTGACTTTTTATCCAATATAGTTTATTTTCAATCATTTGAGTAATTGACTGAGCAAACTTGTGATGCAAGGCTTGAAACTTTTCATGAGGGTACCTTGAAGCATATTAGGTACGAATTAGAGTTTCACTTTGTTCTGGGCTTATTTATCAAATAAAGGTTGTTTCTTTGTTTCTTTTGAGAATTGGATTTTGAAGCTAGGGTTTTGAGGGTTTCACCAAAGATGTTTCGACTAAGACTTTTTTAGGATTTTGTCGCTCTATCATCAGGGGACCTTTTCTTCATAAGTGGGATTTGAGTTAACTTGAGATCTTCCACTAATTATTTGCACCTATCAAGTTTAGAGATTAGGGTTTTTATCTAACTTTGCTTGCATTACAAAGTCATGTAATCATCACATCTTGGATTTATTTTCAAAGGCTTGAATTCAGGGATGAAAGTTTCCTTTGTGGTTCATGAATTGAGATACATCTCATCAAATTGGTTAGGGTTTCTCATATTTTGTATGTTAATTTCTTGATGTTCATCAATGTAAGATTGATTATGGTTTTATCTCAAGGATGTCTTTCTATACTTCAAGTTTCATCTGCAAATGCTTTGCT